TGTAGGGTTTAAGGGTTTCAGGTTTGTGTGTGGGGGGGGGGGGTAGGGATTTAGGGCAAAGCTAAATGTTTAGGGTTTTTAAAGTATGCGGATCTGATCTTTTGTTCTGCTTTCATATGGGTAGTTTTCTGAATGGGGGTCCGCTTTAGGGTTCTTTTTAAATCCTTGCCGTACTTTTTGTGGACCAAAGACGCGACCCTAGTTTAGAGAATTACCAGAATAGAGGTTGTATGCACCTATGACCTATGTCTTGTTCCGAGTATTGGTGATATTTCTGTGTGTGTGTGTGGTCTGTCGGTTCTTAGTTTGCACGGCTTGCTGTGAGGCATTTTGGGTTTGCGGTTTTAGGCCATGGGCTTCAGCGGCTTCATCACCCGCTTGCCATGTCTTGGGGTATATATAGCCATAGCCATGTCCACTACCATAGCCTATTTTGGACCCTTCACCCTAAACCCGAAACCTATACAGTAAACCCTACTTCTACAACAGGCCAAGGCTGCAGCCATGAGTTCTTTGGTCGTTGGTCTGGTGCAGCTTGGCCGAGTCCAGCACAGGATGTGTGGGGTTTGGGTGGAGGGTTGGCAGGTTTAGGGTATTCGATTCTAGAAGCCTGCTTAGTGACCCAACAGTATTCCTTATAGTGCCTTAGGGTTTCCTTGTTGTAGCTATACATGCAAAAACGGAGCCCGAACCCTCTATTCCAAGGGTTTGAAGTTTGGAGTCTCGAGGGGTTTTAGTTCAGGGCTGAGCTTGCCGGCTAAAGTCAACTCCTCAGCCGAAGCCGCGGGATACCCCTGACTATAGAACTCACAAGGCTTTGCATGCAGAACCCCCTTAAAAAAAATCTACAAGGGGGGGTTGCGGGTTGAAGGACTGTGGGGTTTGTGGGGTTCATGCTCTAAGCTGTTCTCCCTGGTTTCCCCCAGCCCTGATTTCATGGGTTCACTACATAATCCCTCTCAATTCTTCGGCCATGTTCCTCAGTTCTGCATGCTCAGGGCAGCTAGGGTTGGGGTTTATAGGGTTAGGGTTTGGGGGCTCTGGGACGGCTGTCAACGACGAAGCTGCACAGAGCCGCACCCAAGTGTCCCAAGCCGCGAACTCCAGGGAACGTGCAATTATTCTTTAGCCTCCCGGTGCTTTCCCGACTGCCTTCAAGGTACGTTCCTAATCCAGCTTCATCCAAAACCCCACACACCTTGAATCCATAAGCCCAGAAATTTTTCGGAGTCCAAGCAAGTCGCTCAAACCTGATGCTAAGCTAAACATCCCAACATCCCCAAACCCTCAACCACCAAAGACTGTCCCAGGATTGCTTTCGTCTACTGCTGGGAGATGTCCCTTGTGATGTTGGGCTCCATCCCGATCATGCTCCTCTGGCTGGACTTACTTCCGGCCAAACCCTGCGAGCCCAGTTGCTTTTGCAGTGAGGTACTTCCTTCAACCCCAAACCCTAAACCCTAAACCCTGAACCCTATAAAAAAATATAATTCCTTCAACCCCAAACCCTAAACCCTAAACCCTAAACCCCCCTATAAAAAGCTAAAGCACTCTATGGCACCGCCCTGAACCGAGCTCAGGGATGGCTGTTGCTTCTTGACCCTAGCTAAACGCCCTACAGTGAACCCTAGAAACCTAATTTAGGGTTTGGGGTTTGGGGTTTAGGGTTTAGGGCTTAGGGCTTAGGGTTTAGGGCTTAGGGTTTAGGGTTTAGGGCTTAAACCCTCATCCATAAGCCTTCGCGTCGGAAAGGAGTCGTTTTTTTTTTCCCTGGACCTCTAGACTCTAGACTCGAGGCCCGATTTCCCCCCAGGCTGATACACCCGGAAGCCACATCCATCACTGGTTTGGGGCTCGAGGTTTCGGGCTTAGGACGCTCAGTGTGAAGTCCCGAGACCTTGTGCCCGATTGCCTGAATACTCTCTTCAACCCAGAGTGCTTGCCCTAATACAGCTAAACCCTAAACCCTGAACCCTAAACCCTAAACCCTAAGCCCTAAACCCTAAACCCTAAACCCTAAGCCCTAAACCCTCACCCCTAAACCCTAAACCCTACACCCGGGGCCTGAAGCAGGAGTCGTTGTCCTCAAACCTCTCGACTCGAATGCCCCCAGGCCTGGGATCTCCTGATCCTATAGAGTCCCCTATGAATCTACCCACAGGCCCCTAAGTAGTTTAGGGTTTAGGGGTTTAGGGTTTAGGGTCTGGGGCTTTTTGGGATTACCTTATAGGATTCTCAATATAAACCACAAAAAGGAACTACTTAGGGGCCTGTGAATCTACACCTGAAGCTCTTTTCCTTAAACCCCAAACCCTAAACTCTAAACTCTAAACCTTAAGCCCCAAACCGTAAACCCTAAACTCCAAACCTTAAGCCCTAAGCCCTAAGACCCTAAAGCCTATAAGCCGGTCTGCTGGACCAAGGATTGCAGCCCAAGCTCTGCAGATGTTGGTGCTTTTGGGTGCTTCCAAGAACGAGAACGAGTGTCTCATCCGACAGATGTTCGGTATTTGGGGTATGTAAGGTTGAGGGCTTAGGGTTTGTGAGGTTAAGGTTTCAGGTTGAGGGTTTGAGCATTTAGGATTTAGGATGTGGGTACTTGGGGATAGGAGTTTGGAGTATCGCGTCTGGGCTGTAGGCTTCCTAAAGCGCAGGCTTGGTGCCTTCAGGCTGGGAATCGGATCGGAAACTCCATGTCTACTGCCAATAACGGTTTAGGGTTTAGGGTTTAGGGGTGTAGGGTTTAGGGTTTGGGGTTTAGGGTTTAGGGTTTAGGAATTGGCCCTAAACCCTAAAAGCCCTAAGCCCGAAACCCACCGGGCCCACCTAGCTCTTTGCCTCGGAGATCCCTTGGCGTTGCTTCAACCGTAAGGATCCGGTGTAAAGTGGCATCACAGGGCGGCATACCTTGACATTTTTTCTGCAAAAACTCGTATCAAAGGCCCTGAAACCTATAAACCCTCAGCCGAAAAGAAGCGTCGGGAGCCTGAGCCCGGAACTCTGCTTTGAGGTTGAGGGCTTAGGGTTTAGGGCCTGGGGTTTAGGGCTTAGAGTTGTAGGGTTTGGAGTTGCACTGGTTTCCCTGCACATCCTGAGCTTCTAACCCCTGTAAACCACTTATAGTCTATAGTCTCCATTGTAGTTGCTTTTGGGGGTTACCTTTAAAGGATCCATAGTATATACTTGGTTAAAGCAAGAAAAAAGGAACTACAGTGGAGACTGTAGGCAGCTACTGAATAAGGTATGCGTTCAGGGTTCTCGGTCGCTTGTGACAACACTTCGGCAGATCAATTCCCGAGCCCGAAACCCAAGAGCAGGGGCCCCAAAGAAGGATGAGAACAGGGTTGTGGGCTCCTTTATAATCGTATCCTACGGAACCCTAATTAGGCATAATATTGGCAATTATTTAGGCTCCTATATGAAATCGTTGGCGTCATGAAAGCGCGAAGCCCTACAACTCAAGCCCCCGAACATGGTGATTGGAAGACCCTCAGCCCAGACACCCACAGCCCTCAACGACCCCACAGCCCTCGCCGACCCATACGGTTTAGGGTTTAGGGTTTAGGGTTTAGTTTAGGGTTTAGGGTTTAGGGGTTGGGACAGGGAGCAAATCTCCCAAGGCAAATCCCCGACCCTCAACCCCCTCTTCCGAAACCCTTCCCCCATCGTCTTCTGGGCCCTCCCAGGAACATCACCAACGCCAACCAGGCAGGAAATTTGCCCCTAAACCCCTACACCCCTACACCCCTCAGGCTGGGTTTTGGGGAGTGAGGCTCCAGGGTTAGGGTTTGGAGTTTAGGGTTTAGGGTCTATAGGGTTTATAGGGCTTCGGGTATGAGGTTTCGGGTTGGGGGGCTTCGAGTGGTTTGGGGTATGGGGTTTGGGGTCTATGCTTTAGGGCGAGGTTTTCGGTTCAGAGGGTTCAAAGGATTTAGGCCATGCCGGGAACACTCTTCAAAACCACTTTAGGTTTTCAGGGGTAAAAAAAAGTGGTTCTTCTCCTGCCGAGCTCCTCAAGATCCTAAGATCCTGAACTCTTACACTGATCCCAGATTGTCGTGGACTCGGTCATGAACGCTCGCACGGTGCAGGCGTTGCCTGGCCTTTCAAGACCTCTTTGCGGGAGAGCATGTAGGGGTTAAGGCAGTTTCAGGCTTAATCACGGGTTGAGTACGTAGGGTTATGGCTGTTCGCATACAAAGGGACTGCTGACGGCGTGAGAGATGTAGTCCATTCTTCGCAGGTTGCATTTTGCAGGTGTCCGGGCCCGTACCCTCTTTTGCTCAAGCCGTTCGTGCCCAAAGCCCTCGGCCGCAACGGCGAAGATTCGTTTCTGATCATACTCTACGAAGATGGGCAGTGTTTGCTGTCCGGCTGCTGCGCCGTCGCCCGTCATCGTACACATCTATGACGTGACGGGCACGGCGCCGATGAAGGTTGTCAACGAAGTCTTGCGCCCTTTGGGCACAGGTGCCTTCCACGCTGCAGTGGAGGTTCATGGTAAAGAGTGGAGTTACGGGCAGACAATGGGAGGTCATGGAATCTTCGAAAACCCGCCAAAAGAGTGTGAACAGCACACCTACCGAGAGTCGATCCACATGGGGTACACGGACCTCACCCCCTTCGAAGTGCAGATGCTCATTGCCGACATGGCCAAGCGATGGCGTGGCCGGCAGTGCCTCGAAGACCAAGTGACCATAAAAAGTAGGAGCCCCATACCCTTTATACCCTCTGAATCCCTATATGGTATCTGGACCCTACAAACCTAAAGCCTAAACCCCAAATCTTCCTAAGCCCGAGGGCTTTATCCTAAATTTCCTAACCCCTAAACCCTAAACCGTAAATCCTTGCAGGGCTCATTTCCGTAAGGTACGACTTGCTGAACAAGAATTGCACGCACTTCGCCGATGAGCTCTGCCAGCTTCTCGGGGTTGGCGAGCTCCCCTCTTGGGTGACCGGGGATTTGTCGGTAGCAGCCTTTTTTTTGAATCGCATCCGTTTCAGGGTTTAGGGCTTTGGGGTTCAGTAGCATCCTTTTGAGGGTTTAGGGTTTAAGTCGGGTTTAGGGTTTAGAGGATTTCGGGGGTTTTGGGTTTCTGGTTCCTAGCATAATATAAGTAATCCCCAACAGGATATAGTTTTTCCCAGTAGGTTACTGAACAGCCCAGGTGACGAATTTGGCAGGAGCTGCGTCCAGAGTTGGCCCAGGACTTCGTGAACTGAGAGAAAGACTCTTCAACCCCTTCAGCTTCAACAGAGAGAACCAGGAGAAGAACTCAATGGAAGTGTCTCGGTGATTGGCAATGGCTCCGGCGAACTACGACTCCGTAGCAGAGTGAGTTAGTGCAGCGGCGCCTCAGCACCGGGAATTTCAGTCGATATTATATTATATCATATTATACTCTATTACATTACATGTCAATATATAATATTGTATTGTATCTTATTATACTATATAATAGTGGATGTCGCGAAACCTGCGCACCACCACCACAGTCACACTCGTTACGCGGCTAATGCACAAGACTTATACCTGGACTCGAGTCCTGTGTTCACGATCATACTTTGCTTCGTCAGGTCCTAACCCTAAACCCTAAAATCCTAAACCCCAAACCGTCAATAATCTTGATTCGGGCATAGCCGCGTGGCTCCGAGAATCAGATCGGAGTCTGGGACAGTCTGGCCATCAGAGTCTGGCAGCTGTTTGACATCACACGAATTCGCAGCACACAAGTAGCTGCTTTTGTACAGGACTGGATTGCCTTCTCCTTGACGTTTCTTCATGCGGTATAAAAGCATTTCTCCTCAGCGGGTCCGGCGAGCTCTGCGAGTCTGAGCAAGCCCGTCGGCAAGAGGCAGGCTAGTATTTCAGCGACGAGCCTTCCGTGAATATATGCGCGAACTACTTTACCAACAGATTTGTGTTCTGATGTTGGATGTATGCATAAATCTGAACAGTCAACGTCAAAACATACTCGTGGATGTGACACTATCATCGCGTAAGTGCGGATCGGTAGGCACAGAAGAAGCGACAAGTCGTATTGTAGATGCATGTCAATCCCATCCCCAACTCTAGTATCTCTGGTACTGCTAGTCTAGTACCTATTCTGAGGGTTCGGGATGTTGGGCTGAAGTTCCATTGCAGAACCTGAACCTTCAGCCCAGGCTTGGTGTGGAGAAGGGCTTGGTGGGCATGTATGTGGGCTGGGTGGAGAAGTCCCTGATGGGCATGTGGAGGCTTTGGGGCCATGATGCAGGGTTGAGGGTTGAGTGTTTATTGGGGGTTTAGGCCGGGGTCATGATAGACCTTTACGGATTGGCATTGTGTTGTAGTTGGATTGTGCGTTCATGGCTGTAGGGGCCCACAGCTATCGTGCAAGGATGTGTGTTGAATGATGCAACTGTATTGGACACAACTGTAGTTGCAATAGAGAAGCCTATTTAAATACCAGCATTTTTCCTTAGGGTTCCTTGTTCTAATCATACTATAGCGGAGCCCAAAGCCCTATGCTGCTTATTACGGTCCCTGCATAAGACAAGTGCGAGAGCCGTCTTCGCGTCGTGGTCGTCGTCGTCCTCGTGCTCGCTCTAGCCTTATAGCTGCAGCAGCAGCGGTATTTAGTATTAGTAGTCGTAGCAGAAGTAGTAGTAGTTGTAGT